CAGTGTATGAGATAACAGGTTCCTTGCCAAAATATTCACTGGTTGGGTATGAAGTAATTAGATCATGGGTTAGTAAGGATGAGGATTGAGGGAATATTTGTTGGGTTGGGTTGACACTTGAATATAAATTGGCTGATTTGGGTTGAGGATGCACATATTTGTGTCAATGTCCTGCCCACAAACTGTTCTAACCTGTTTTTTGTTGGGTTGGGTTTGGGTTTGGGTTTATACTTGAATATGAATTGGTTGATTGCTTATATTTGGATTAGTGTCTTGCCTACAAACTGCTTAAACTTATTATAGGTCAAGGCTAGCTAATTTTCCTGGTCTGGCTGCACCTGATGGAATGGATACATCATATTTGGCACGATTTTTTTAAAAAAAAATTAATGTGCATCCTCATAAGTGGATGCATTGAAGTAACTATATTCATATGGTATTCAAACTAGTTGATATTCATTATTTTGGAATCTTTGCAGATTACTGACTTGCCATTTTCTCTATACTCAACATTTGTCATTGAGGCCCGCCATGGTTTCAACAAAGTTTGTACTCTCTCATTACTAATTGTCATGTTCATATATTGTTATTTCCTACCTTAAAAATTTAGTTGTTACACTCTTGCTCTTGTTTTGCTGAAGTAACAACAAACAATATGGTTATTCATTAGGGACATGATTAAAGGAATCATCCTAGCAATTATAATTGGACCGCCTATTGTCGCAACAATTATTGTAATAGTACAGGTACTGTTATTTGTCAGTATTGACACTTTTTACCAGTTTATTGGGGATAACGTTGTTTCGATTAGTCCACTTGATTCAGTTGTTGCATGTATCTTTTTGAAGTTATTGCCATGTTTATTTGAGCATAAACTCAATGAACTTCTAACAACTATTTTTTTCACTGTATTAAGACATTTCAGTTTTACTTTGGTGGTTGGTGATTAAAGATGTTCATTTGTTTGGGTTGCAGAAAGGAGGTTCTTACTTGGCCATCTATCTTTGGGGGTTTATGCTTGTACTATCTCTTGTGATGATGACTGTGTACGACGTTTTAATTGCGCCACTTTTTAACAAGCTCACTCCGGTGAGTTTCAAATATTTTTTTAGCCCATTTTAATTGAAGAAATCAATTCAAGTTCATGTTTAGTTTAATGGTAATTTATTATGGTATGTTCTGTCAAATAGCTTCCGGATGGAGAACTCTGCATAGTTGAGAAGCTATTTATTCACTACGTGGTCAGATTTTATCTTGGGTTATTTGAATAGGTTTATTGTCAATAAGTTGCATTAACTGTTTATTTGAATAGGTTTTATTAAAATAGGTTAACTGTCAATAAGTTGCACAATTAGCATATCGATTTCTCTTGATTTTGAATTTCTTATTATTCCTGGAATTAGCACATAGATTCCTCCTAGAGTGTGGAACTCATCAATGAACAGAATAATGGCCTTTTTGCTTTGCATAACTTCACCAACCACATTCAGTAACCTTTTCTTCAATATTGGGATAGTTAGGTTGTTCAGTTGGTGGCTTATGTGGGTGGTACACCTTGCAAGAGATATCATTATAAATGAAACTATCATCATTAACAATTAGGGTCTATTCCTATGTAATGCAATGTTGTTGTTAGAGATTCCTCCTAGAGTGTGGAGCTCATCAATGAACAGAATAATGGCCTTTTTGCTTTGCATAACATCACCAACCACATTCAGTAACCTTTTCTTCAATATTGGGATAGTTAGGTTGTTCAGTTGGTGGCTTATGTGGGTGGTACAGTTGGTGGCTTATGTGGGTGGTACACCTTGCAAGAGATATCATTATAAATGAAACTATCATCATTAACAATTAGGGTCTATTCCTATGTAATGCAATGTTGTTGTTAGTGTGAATTCTGGCTTAATTTTTAAGTTAAAAAGAATTTTTTTCCCCCATTCCTTTTATTTTCTAATGGGGCACTTGTGTCTTCTCATCACCGTTGTCATATTTTTGCAGGAGTCTTATGTTATAATGTGGAGGTTATAGTCTAAATGAGCTTTCATTCTTATGTTCTAGGTTTTATTGACTTGGAAACTTCATATCATCCTAGTATAAATATGATCTATTATCTTTACAAAAGTTGCTTTAATTGGTTTATATTTTATGTAACAAGTGCTATAAAAGAATCGGAGGAGCTTGTGACACAATCTGACTAAATTCTTTACCTTTGGATACATGGATCAGAGTACTTAACTTGCCTTGATATATGGTTTTTGTTGTACCCTTCATTATTGCCTACTGTTTGCTTACAGTATTACTAGTTTTCTGAAAGATCTTAGGGCCTCATCTTAAAAGTTGCATGGCATTATCTTATAGGAGCACCTTAAAACATTTATTTATTTGCATAGCCAATTCATGCTGGTTAATGGGTTGCATGCAAACTTGCTTGATGGATTGGGTAGTGATAGACATAACATTTTCATTTTGATAGAAATTTGGGTGATATTCAAGAATCTATATCAAAATAATCGTTAGAATGGTTTGCAATGGCGAAGCAACATTCTATGGTTCTACAAGAGTGGTTGCAGAACACTTATACTAGGATCTGGTGTGTTTGGCATGTCTTTCTTTATTTTTTGTGGGCAAATTACATATACACCCCTCGAGGTTTGGCTAAATTACAGATACCCCCCTGAGGTTTCGGAAATTACATCCCGCCCCCTGAGGTTTGTATTTTCATAACAATTTGCCCCCTGAGGTTTATATTTCATAACAAATTACCCCCTAATTTCTTATGCAAATATAGCATTCAGGGGGGAATTCGTAATTTCTCAAACCTCAGGGGGGCATCTGTAATTTAGCCAAACCTCGAGGGGTGTATATGTAATTTGCCCATTTTTTGTTTGGCTTGTCTTTGGCATGTTTGTAGACACTTCAATGTAAATTCTAGGAGTGTACTTAATGCTGCTGTTGTGTTGTTATTATGATTAGTTTTATCTGTGAGGGAATCTGTTTTTACATAGCTCATAGTTTCCTGTTGTTGGAGGAGAGGGAACATTTCTAGTTAGTATATATGCTGGAAAAATAACATTTCCTTTCTAATTAATTATGTTCAGATGAAATTAGTTGTAAACATGCTGGACCTTTCCTTTTTTGACCATACTGGATTGATAAATTTGCAGGAATGGTGATTGACACTTTGTTATACCTTTTCATGCATGTGGGGGACTCCAAAACTTGTGCAGAAAATGCCTACCATACAGGTAAATCTATGGATTTGGTTTTAACTTGGATGATTTTCATGATTTTTCCCCCCTTCTAATAATGATAAAGGAACCATGTAACAGCTGTGGAACGATGGCAAGAAACAGGCAGATGCGTCCTACTGGACCAAAAGCTGGTGGTTCTCCATGCAAACAATATCGGGTTACTGTGTAATACATTGGCATGAAATTTTGTTTGTTTTTCTTGAATGGCTATGAGATGTATTGGTAAGTTGTATAGGGAAGAGGATTTAATCAAATAAAACTAAGCTGTGTGTCATAATCAGAATTTACTTGGCACCATATTTTATGTATGTTCTCTTGAAACAAATACATTTGATTTTTTTTTTCTTTTTTGTATTTGTGTTTATAGTTTGAAGGCCTATTTTCCTTTTGCTATTATACTTGCCAAAGTGTTTTTAAGGGCTTATGCATCATTAAGTATGGGTAAATCAATAATTATAGTGTTCATTTTATAAAATAATAATAAAAAATGAACGGTTTATTTTTAAAATCACAGAATTAGCAAAATTTCAAAAAAGAAAAAAAAAGAAGAAGCTATAGCGGCGTTTTTCAAACGCCACTATAGTATAGTGTTAACAGTTATATTTTAAAATAGAAAAAAGCTATCACTACAACATTTTCTTAGTTTAGTGACATTTGAAAGTGCTACAAAACTATTCTTTTAATGACATTTTTTAGTCTTGTACCATTTTAAACAAGTGCCATTTCTATCGGTGCCACGGTAGATACGAGTGCCATGGTAGATACTTGCAAGTGTCACTACACCATCATGGCTAAAAACTTTCAATGACATTTTGATGTCATGATAGATATTATTTGTGGTACTATCAAGCGCCATTAAAAAAAGAGTTAGTGACACTTATAAGTGTCATTACACCATCAAGACTAAAACCTTTCAGTGACGCTTTAATGTCATGGTAGGCACTATTCGTGACGCTATCAAGTGCCATTAAAGAAGACTTGCAGTCTAAAAAATGCCACGATATGGATTTTTAATGATGCTTATTATGCCACAATTGATATTTATAACACCTTCATAAATGCCACTAAATCCAATTCATTTGTGCCATTAAATAGATATAACTGCCATTAGAACTTATTTTAGTGACACTTTGCAAAGCTACTATCACTACTACAAAATGCCATTTATATATTTTTTTAATTGACACTTTTAAAAGCTACAATTATGCATGCGTAAATACCTATAAAAATTGAATCGATTTTATAAACAATTAAATATTAATTGCCACATCATATATTAATTTGACATCCATTCATCCTGTAATATTTTCATAATAATAAACAAATATTACCACCATAAGATCATCACATCAAAAATAAAAAAAATTCAAACCACAATCAATTATTTATTATTGAAATATAAATTTATTTATATTGCAAAAAAAATCCCTTGTCAAAATTATAAAATATTCTACCACACTAACAAAGTTAAAGCAAAAACAATTTAAAAGAAAATTATTCTAACCACAAGTTCTGAAAAAGCCATAGTGATATCCATATTCCGGCGAGAAAAATTATCAAAAATAAAATCAGTTCCCAAATTCTCAACCTCACTTATATAAATATTCTCGGCTAGCATCCATAACTTGTGAAATCTGCATCCAAAAGATAAACATATGAAGGTAATTGAAACTATATTAAGTTAATATAAATTTGTTAATGAAATTAGTATTTACGAAAGAAATATACCACAAATGGAGCAGGCCAAGCAACATGATCTCCAATAGCTTCTCCAACTGTTTTGACAAGTCCATATGATCGGATCAAGCTCTCATTAAGTTTGATTGGCACTTGAACATGTACCTCCCAATAGTCAGGTCCCAACTCTTTCCTTCTACTTCTTTAGATGCGTATGTGCTTTTAAGTACTCCGATTGCAACTGTTTCTGTTGGCCTAATGACACTTTTTAGAACAACTATATCTCCCACCTGTAAATCAAGATTTAACTACTTAAGTAATTGTATATTTAAAATTAATAAATAATAGTTAAAAAAAAACTAGTACAAAGTGCTAGAGTGAAGATGATCACAACTGAAAGTGATATGGATTTCTCTAGTAGATAAGCAAGCCAAATGCTTTAATCAGTTAATTGGTTCACTACACTACAACAAATTATATAAAAATAACAACCGTAAATCTTTAGACCATATCAAACAATAGCTTAAAAATTCAATAACAACCAAAAGCACCAATCAACAACAATCAAAACCATGTCCATTATCAATATCAGGATCCCCTAACCTCAATGATGTAAATCAAATGTAATTGTGAAAAATGACAATCAACTAATTACATTCAAGCAATATTTTGAGAGAATCAGAAAGAGCCCATGCGGTAATAAATGATGGAGAGATGTCTTGTTAAAGCTTCAGAAGAAAATTAAATTAATTTTTTTAAAAAAAAAGCACAAACTTCGTCATGTCATGATTTAGACTATGTATCACATTTTGTCTAGATTTAAATAATGAAATTTATGTCCGTAATATTCATTCCTTGGTTAATTGTAAAATAAGTGTTGCATGCTATTCTAAAATAAAGTTGGAAGTAATGTGATATCTATGATTAGCTCTTAGTAGGTACCTGAGTAAGAGAAGTATCTTGTATCGATGACAAAGACCATGCTTGATGTCGAGCTGCCATGTCGAGAGGAGTAGAAGTTGTTGTGGCCTAACCAAATTTGAACTATTTAATTTTACAAACACACACACATAGATATATGTATGCATATATGTGTAGGAAAACATTAATAACTTATAAATTCTATTAAAAAAATTACCTGATTAGATGTGTTTGTCAAGTTATTCGGAGCATGCTGAACATAAGAAACTTTGGACCTTAGCTTCGAATTTTCAGCTTCCATAACATCCTTTGTTGTGTCTTGGTTTGCTTTATGACCAGATGTATCTCTCCATAAATTAGACGGGGAGACACCTAATCCATACATGCGAACTCGTCCATGTTTTTCTTTACCCATCACTTGTCCAAATCCATCATTTGGGCCCTTATTCGATAAATTTCATTTAAGGTTGTCCTCTCATTCATTTCATCCTATAGGGTTGCAAAAAACATAACTTAATATATACATTTCAATAACTCAACACTATAATGTTAAAATTTTAACTAATCTACAAGTTCAAATGGACATAATTATTTGGTACATACTATCATTGCTTTTGTTGCCTCAGGGGTTCCAGTCTCCTTTGTATAACATACTTTAAACATGTGAGCACGAGTTGGAGAGTGTCCCAACTTATTTTTCTACAAAATAATATATTCCAAAATATAAATTATATCATTCTGTCATCTTATGTATACCTTATCATATTAAATATACAACATGAAAAGATGAATTAACCTGCTCCTTTCGAACACGTGGAAAACTTTTTGTTCCAGTAATATGATTATACTTTCGCTCTGCACGACTTGCTTTGTTCTTATCACTTTGTGCCTAAAATTACAAATGCATAAATTAATGGTGTCCAAACTACAGCAAGCAAAATAACATATAATGATTAGATCGAGTATACCTTTACTTCTTCAATGGCCCAATACTTAATAAGGTGTTCCCACTGATCAGCATATACTCTACTATCTTTATAATGCTTTTGTTGGTCAAAACTCAAGTGGTTCTTATAATAATTTTTCTTTATGTTTGCCTTCCAGTCTTTTAACTTCTTACCAGAGCACTTCATAACCCACTTCCTAGCATGACTTGGAAGATCAAACTTTGACTGAAAAGAGAGAGAAAAAGAGCAAGAGAGAGAGAGAGAGAGAGAGAGAGAGAGAGAGAGAAGAATACAATGATAAAAAATTAATCTTCCCACATAAAAAATTAAAAATAAACAAAATTATAAAGAGTGTTGTTTTAATCACATTACTCATGTTTACTATTTTTCACATGTGATCATCTTTCGCACAATATTGTGTCATTTACCTGTACAAGTGCCCATATGTGATCTTTGTAATGTTCTGGGACTTTATGCCAATTCTTGTAAATGAGCAGTGCATTTTTCCCATCACGCACAATAGTTCCAATGAACGATGATAACTTTGTTGCCAACTCGTCATCAGGTTGGCCAAGTTTGTTCCAATTGACTATTAGGCGCTCATCATCACGAGTACCCCAAATATTACGCATTTGAGTGGGACCTCTAGTTTTCTTTTGTCTACTAGCACCATCTAGTTATAATAAATAAATAAATAATAATACTAATAATAAATTATATACGAAGAAATAATAACATTTTTATAAGGTTTGAACTTGCATACCTGCATTATCATTGGGTTGACTAGAATTTGGCTGGATCTCATATGGAGTTGACTCACTAAACTCACCAACATTGCCTGAGCGAAACTGAAGATATGGGTCCATAGGCTTTTTGCTTTATAGATGAATCCTAGTATGATTCAGGTAAAATAAACAAATCAAATTGTAAACTTAGAATGATCCAGATAAATTATCTGCAAATGAACAAAATACTTGAAGAAAATTAAGAAATTTTTTTTTTGTGAATTCACCTTTATTGATATATATATCTTGTGTTTTTTGTCTCATTTTATGAATTCATATATTGTTTCCTTACAATTCATATCTCTGAATGCAGCCGTACCCACATCTGCACATTCGCAACAAGGAGTTCCCTTGGGGCATCTTATTTATTCCTTCGTGAGGCCTTAAATCTAATGGTCATTTAATTTTCTTCAAAATGGTTTTATTTGGATCAATTGATTTTATCCTTTTTGGTAACAGTTTATATAGGCTCTAACCATATTTAATTTGGCTCTCAAGAGATTGCTTTTTAAGTTTAAAAAAAGAGTCCTTTTATTTGGATTATTTGTGTTTATCGTTGCATTTGACACAACAATTTGAATATCATTGGTTGCTTTGTCTTCGATTGGATAGTTTACATGGAATAATGATCTACCATAGAGGGACACTTAAATTTAAATTTCAACTAGGACCATGGTTTAAATTTATTTTTGTTGATGATCTGCAAGTATTATGGTGTAAAGTTGTAGGTTGAAGCCACCGACATTTAGCCATCCTTCCATTACTAGCACCTAAGCACAGCACAGACTAGCACCTAAACATGTAAACACCTAAGCTCCCAACTCAGCCATTCAGCCATCCTTCCATTACTAGCACCTAAGCACAACAGCCCAGCATAAAGAAAGAAAAAACCTAGAAGAAACCCCAAAAAAACCAAAAGACAGCAGCAAGCATCCCAGACCAAAGACAGCATTCCAGAGTGCTGCAGACCAGAGACAACAACCAAACAGATCAACAGACCCAGACAGCTGCATACTAGATCAACAGATCAAACAACAGATCAACAAAGCATACTCTCCAGCCACAAAACAGATCAACCATCTAACTTATAGAGCTAGCATACTCTCCCAGGCCAAAAGCAGACCCAGACAGCTGCTTACTAGATCAACAGATCAAACTCCAGATCAAATAGATCAACAGATCAACAAATCATACTCTCCAGCCACAAAATAGATCAATCATTTAACTTACAGAGCAAAATAGAACAACCTTTATGTTTGTTGGATTTTGCACAACATATCAACATATCAAAGTTGATAGATGATGCAAAAAAGATCAACAGATCCGTAAATATAACATGCAGACTCAATTGCAGCCCCTAAAATTATGATCTGTTACTTGATTCCTTACTTATTGCAAACACCACCTACCTCTAGTATCACTACAGCATCCCCAAAACATGCACAACAAAAACAACATTTATACTTCTGCACTAAATAGCAGCAAACAAACCTTTCAGCTTCACCACTACTAACAAACCTTGTGACTACTAAATATATGTGGAAAGATGTGCACATGCATGTTGTTAGATGATGCTGTTAAAGTTCAAACAACAAGTTTGCATGTGGGTTTATATCGTGCGTCAAGAATTTTTTTGTTCCACTTAATTGGATGGGTTGTGAGAGGTTGCAGCCTTTTCTTTGTGTGTGTGTGTGTGTGTGTGTGTTTTTTTTTTCTCTTAATTATTTTTAGCAGCATTGTTTTAACTCAAACTCTTCAGACACAATTAACGGTGACATTTGTTGAATCTTTTATGATATGTGCAGGTCCTGATGGCCTTTTTGAGACTAAGCATCATCATTGATCTTCGAAGGCCAAGATTGTGAGGATATATCTAGGAATAATGATTGTTCAGCTCAATTCAGCGTGTGCCATCCGAAAATTTACTTTTTGAGACAAACTTGAAAATCTCCATGACTGTTTAATGTCAAGACCTTCCCATTATGGAAACATGGTTTTTGGGCTGCATGTTGCAGGTTGTTGGTTATTTTTGTGTTTCTTCTTTTGTCACTTTGTTTTTCGTATTCTGTTTGCTGCGAAATAAGGTTTTATGAATAGGATGTTCTCTTTCAAGTTCATTGGTTTACATTGATACTTCCAATTTCTTTTTCTCGAGATGCTTAGTTGCCCTTGATGAGTATTTTTGTGATTGACTCTCTCTCTCTCTCTCTCTCTCTCTCTCTCTCTCTCTCTCTGAGTTGCGGTCATCCCTCGAATGTCATGGCAGGGCAGCAGACACTTGGATGCTCAACATTTTACCAACTCATATCGACATGGGAAAATAATTCTATATTGTAACTCTGATTGTCATGTTAGACCAGAACATATTGCCTATAGATTATTTGCATTTGATGTTATGTCGTTAATGTGTCCCACCAAATATTCTAAATGATAAAGTAGTAATATTACTTATGCAGGTAAGCTTATGGAATAAATGAATACATAATAAATAAATAAAAACAATCATAAAACTTGACTGACATCCATGACTGACTAGTTTCCATGGTTTACAACCTTAATTATAGGGGAAGTTAATTGTTAGTCACGCTACAATTGATTACAGAAAATTAATTATTATTAGTAATCAAAAGTAGCAAATTTGAGCTAAAATCTACGATAAAAAGAAACTTCTAAGAGAAAACCCAACTCCAACCAATAAATTTTTATTGAAATTCTAAATTGAGTAATGAAAAATCTTTTCAAAAATAGTAAATTTTCAAATTTAAAGGCTTAGACAAAGGGAATTGGCAAAAATTTAGTTAGTCACTGTGCAATAGTGAGTATGTTAAATTAAAATGGATGTTTGGATTACTTCGATTTGAAATTCCATTCAAAATTAATACCAAAGGCATTTTATTTCTCAAGAATGTTGATAAGAACACTGGTAAATTAGAAAAGATGAGGTAAAAACACAGACGTTCTTTTTGCATGAGGTGGGGGGGAGTCGGGGGTTTGATATGGGGACTGATCTAGGGGTCGGTTGAGCTTTAAGGGGATTACTTCAATTTGAAATTTCATTCGAAATTTAGTGCCAAATACATTTTATTTCTTGAGAGAATTAACAAGAAACTGGTAAATTAGAAAAGTTTACCCTCACTAACGATAAGGGTGGTTAGTTGAGCCAAAAATAGTTTGAACAAGTGGCTGGGAATGTGAATAAGTTGATTGGTAAAGACAAAAAGGTGGGCAAGTGATGATTTTACTAAGAAGAAAATTGGAGGGAAAACATCCTCTAGGAAGAAAGGGGAACTTAAAAGTAGGGGTGTAAAAAAACACAATCAAACTGACTCAACCTGCTGATCTTGGTCAGGCCTGTAGTTGCATACAGTGTTTTGTATAGATGTAGGCTTATAGCTTGATTCTTTACTCATTCCACACTAGGAAGAATCATTGGACATTATTTATTTGCTCCTTTACCTTTCTATTTCCTAATGATATTTGCTGAGCAAAAAAGTAAAGTAAATTATTGTTATTTTTTTTCCTCATAGAAGTGAATACATAACTATAGTTGCATAATTCATTAAAAAAATTTACACACCAATCAGTGTGATTATTCCAAGTCAAATGTTTTTTTCTAAGTGCTTGGATGGAGTACCAGTGTAGGATGCTAATTAAAAAATCATATTGTGATAAACTAAGTAAAAGTGTATCTCTAAGGCTCAATGGTCTACTTGTCTCATACATTGGATCGGTTAGAAAAAAAGTGCAAGTTCTAAATATGCCATATTATTTTTTGTATGCTGATTTCTAGTTAAGAATAAGGCGGGGTATTGGTTCAATTGTTGAAAACACAGCTTATCATCTTGAGGTTGTGGCTTTGAACCTGAGGACATTTACTTTATTCTCAGTGGTGCTCTGTTCTTTCCTTGGAGTATGTTAAATACAAACATCCATTTTAATTTATGTGATCATATGATTGTTAAGTTCTATTTTATGAAACAATGACCTCATAACCACATCAGGTTGATTGTCTTAATCAATGTTGGAATTAGCTAAGTATATCTAGATCTTGTGAAGTAGAGTTTAGCATAAAAGGCTCTATGAGATCAGATCATAGTTACGGAACCATATATATATCATGTTTTTTGCAGCTTAATCAACATATACTACAACAATCTGACATAAACAAAAATAATTTCCAATTATTCATGAGCTCGTCCAATATTTCAACTAATTAACAGCATAATCAATAAACATAAATATTAAATAAAACTCACTGAAGCATTTAAACAAACGCTTGCAAGACATTAAATAAAATGACAACATAAATATAATAATAGTAAATTAAAAATAACCTTTTATATTGAAAGATGAAAATTAATAAATACATGAGTTAAAAGATTAGATTTTCAGATTGTGTAAAGTTTTATGCCTAAAACAAGAAGATCATAAATAAGTGAGAAAGAGGTATTGTGTGTCTGATGAGGGTGAGAAAGAGAGAAAGAATACCTAATGAACTATGATCGTAGAAGATGAAAACAAAGCAAATTTGTGGTGTAGATGGTAGATAAGGATTGAATGAAAGACAAAGAATGATAAAAACTTGCTTCATATTTTGGCTCCCGCGATTTTGACCCGCCAAAATCAAATTTGGTTCACCAATTTCAGGAAAATCAAACTTCCCCCTGTTTCTATGTCGATCGCCTCTATGGATTTTGCCTCATCAGATATGGTTTGTTTCCTTCAGTTCGTTATTTCCTTGGTTGTATAATATATTAAAAAAAAGAGAAAAAAAAGAGAAGAGTTTCGCTGAATAAGGATGCTTGATTGAGTTTGTTGATATTGTAAATAATAAAAAATAAAAGAATTTAACTTTGGCCCTTATATTTTTTGTTAA